TCAGCAATGTGAAGTCAAAATATTTTTTCAGGTAATAAACTCACTCATTTTATTCACGAGTGGATTACCCAGACCAATATTCTTTCAGGTTAACCTCTGATGAAGAATAACATATTCCACCTGTACATGTGCATATTCAGTTACCTTGAGATGAAAATTAGCTACTGAGTCCCAAAGAGTTTTGGAAATATAATCATAGGCAGAGAGAATGCCCCCATTTGTATAAGTCATCTAAAATGAGGCTTTCTTACCCATTATCCTGTTAAAGGGTCAAGAAGACTGTGAATCTATAAATAGATCTCCTGATTACCAACTGAGAGGGTAAATCTCTAAGCGTTTTAGCATCTGCATTTGGCAGTAACTGATTTTACCCTTAATCCCTGTAGCCTAGCAGCTTCACAGATGTCTATTTTTAGTTACTTAAATTTGCTGTTTAACAATATTTAATGAATACAATACCAGTATGTGTAAGGACCTTAACTAGTTGCTCAGGTTAAAGGATACAAGAGGAAAGAGAAGTGCTGAGGTCAAGTAAGCATACAAAATGCATAGTCTAATGTCTAAACATCTTCAAAGCAACATGCAAATGCAAATTTTAAGCCCCAAAACTTAAGTCATTTGACTCCAGAAATCCTCGTCTCCTTCCTCTTGCCCTCTGATATTCCCGTGTTTTATATAGCTCACATTTTTTTTCCCAAAATGCTGGCCTCTCATGTGCCAAAAATTTGGAGTGAGGCATTACTACTTTAGAATGCCATTTTTCAATCTTCTACTTGAATTAGCCTTTATATTTACAAGATCAGAGCCTTGCATGCCAAATCTACATAAGCTAAAGGGCTAGTTAAGAGAGAATTTAATGCTGCAAAGAGCTCAACTCCCTTATTCCGTTATGATCTGCTTACTGAGTCTAAAAGGCACATGCTTCATTAAGCTACTTAAAGGTTTTAGTTCAAAGCAATTGCACAGCTTTTAACTTCCTATTGGAAATTGCATGTAATCCATGGACGGGGTAAAGTAATATTTCAATTACCTGAGTAAAATGAAAACATAAAAAATTAAGATACAACTATCTGATATTAATAATTCTACTAATGATTATTTTGGTGACAATATATGATAATGAGAAACTGATTATCACATTTGCCTCTATCTTCCCAATACAGCTTTGAAAGTTATAAAGAGAAATTGACAGGGAAATGTTTACATTCACCCATATACTGCAACATTAAATATATAGGCTTTGGAAAAGATTGAAACTTAAGGAAATTGTAGGTTGTTAAATCCTAACAATTTCACTTAAAATTAAGTGAGGAGTACAAATAAATATAACACAAAGAGATAATTTTGTTGTATTGATAAATTGCTTGGACACCTGATACCACTTTGATGCTCCAACTATTTGAGAGAAAGTACCTTCATATATAAGGAAAGACAGCTTTTTACATTCTCAAATAATGGTTAATGACAAGCAGTAAGAAAGACAAAGCTTTAAGTAAATGACTATTGTCCATTAACAGTTCATCCCAAACTCCTAATCAAAATGTCTGCCTTAAATTATGTATACGTAACTATGCAAAATTGAATTGGGAAGTAGTGCTTGGTGAATTTGTCCTTCTGTTTCCATGGAAACAGATGCTGGATTGCATCTCTTTAAGGCTGGTTTTAAAGTGGAAACCTACAGTACATTAATATCGCAGAAAGTTTAAAACTTAATATATCTCATAGACTTTTGAATTTATTGGGTTTTTGAAATAGCAGTTCAATGCGTTCCTATATACTGCATATAGGGCACCTTTTATTTCTACTAAATTTATTACCTGTTTGATTCTCTCTTGCCATCCCTCCATCCTCCATTTCAGTAGAACGGCTCAAGAGTCAATGTCTTTCCTTACTTGACTTTGCATCCTTAGCATATAATATAGGTTCCAGCTCAAGCTTTTATTTAATAAAAACATTTTTATGAATAAAATATAGTAATATAAGCTATTTTCTCCTTCTAGTTATAAGAAAAAGTGAGCTTTAGTGTCAGACTAACATGTATTTGAATCCTGACTTCAATAGCTAGCTATATGACCCATAGGTCAATCACATAAACTTTCTACATGTCAGTTTCCATATTAAATTGGAGATAATAACAAAATCCAAGTCATGGAGTTGTTGTGATGTTTAAGTAATATAATTGTTATTAAGCATCTAGCCTAATGTTTGACGTAGTAGGAAATGAATTAATGGTAGCTGGAATAATTAAAATAATTACTGGTGCTGCTACTACTTCTTTCCAGGCATTGTGCTAGATGCTCTTTATTTTCAATCATCACTATAACCCTGTATTACCGTTTTCATTCTGCTGACAAGTACCAGAGAGGATAACGAGTGCCACTCAAGTTGTAAGCTGTGAGGTCAGGATTTAAACCTTCCTTTGCTTGACTCCAAAACCTGGGATTTTTCCAATACAACATGCTGCCTCTTCTGAATATGTTTCAAAAATTCTGAAAGGTACAATCCCTCTCTTTAAAAGCTTTTCAAAATATTTCTATAAATTAAAATATGGCCACCTGATCCATTACAGAAGATAGCTAATTCAAAATCAGTAGGTTGTACAAAGGAAATTGCCCATACTGTACTTTGTTTTTACTTTTTCAGGAAGTCAGTTAATTAGGTTTCCTTGATGTAGTGCAGGAAATCATAGAATTGGATTTTTAACGTAGAAGTAAACATCTAGGTTCCATTTCAGAGCTTTGAGTTGTTCCCAGGAGTCACCCTGGTGGCCCCACAGAATTTCCTAGAAGTCCTCTTTACTCATATCTGTCTTGTTATAGGCCCTGGTCATATCTCCTTTGAGAAAAAGTAATCAATGTTTACTCATCAGCTGGGTTCATTGACAACAGTGGGAGAAATACTCTACCACAAACTAGAAAAACTCCCTTCTTCAAAGGGTACAGTCAGGTTCATGGTTGTTCAAACAAACTTTTCAGGAAAGAAATGAGAGTATTAGACATTTTATTGGGGATCTCCAGTAGAACTAGATTATAATAACTAGCATGCAAACAGTGTTCTAGTTTAAAAAGCACACTCAAATATTTCCTGTATTGAATATAAATCCCTGTGACAGTGCTAACATGGGAATATTATGTATTTGAAAACTACAACAAGAACACCACACCCCACCAAGAAAAGCAAACAAAAATTTAAAGAAATAAAACCCTAAGGCACAGGACTATTAAGTGACTAAAGTCACATACCCAGAAAGTGGTACATTCAGTGTTATTACACATGAACCTTTTCACTAAATTATTCAAATTAAGGTTAAATATAGGTAAACTGAAAGATTCTATAGAGAGATATTTACATGGCTAATGAGGAAGTGGACATTTAGCAAATAGTGTATGGATATGACACAGAAAAACAGCCTTTAAAAACAATTCAGCTAGGGCTCCATTCAGTTTGAGTACTTTTTTCTTTAATTACTTTCTAGTTCATCATAACTTATGTTTATGGACTAAAGTTAGAGAGCTGATAAAGTTACAGCTTTTCTTGGCAAATGAACCAAAAAAGTATTAGACTGAACTGTATAAATTCTCAGATATTCTATTGTGACCTACAAAGATGGCAGTTTCAATCTAAGAATAAACTTATTATTTTCCAAATGCATTATATTATTGCTGTTGAAATGCTTTAATTACAACCAATATTAAATTAGTTTTGATTCCCAAACTTAATCTCTATTAAATGGGAAATTACCAATATGGAGCATACAATTCATAAAGGAATAATTCTTATTTTGAGCAATTGAATATACATTATGAATATATGTTTCTATAGTTATGATGAGGCCAACTGTGTATTTCCAAAGATGATAGATATTTTGGAAAAGAACGGTACAGATCAATGGTCCTCTGTAGGTCCATAGAGTTGGTATGATATTAATAACAATACTAAAATATTATTTGCAGTTTTCACTCTCACATCCCATGAATGTACAAGGAGTCTTCCAGAGGCTACACGTTCTGTAGTATTATAGTAGACTAAATACTGACACAGATGTAAGAATCCAGCTGTCTTCTATAAGGCCAGACATTAATGCAATTTACAAAAATATAAAAAGATGCTAATCTTCTTACTATTTGATTTTGCTTTGGAAAATATATTTTTAAAAAATGTTACTTATATTAACGTCTAATGGATTATTACATTATTTTTAAGTTCTCAGTTTTAGTTTCAATAGAGTAAATATTAATAGCTATAACCCATGTTTTTGGGTTTTAGCTTTTGTTGAAAAGCTCTTTGGGGTTCACAATAAATTTTATGAGTATAAGAGTCCATATAGCCAGCCCTGGTGGTCTAGTGGTTAAGATTCGGTGCTCTCATTGCTGAGGCCCAGGTTGATTTCCTGGTCAAGGAACCACACCACCAACTGTCAGTTGTTATACTGTGGCAGCTGTGTGATGCTGTGATGCTGAAAGCTATGCCACTGGTATTTCAAATATCAGCAAGGTCACCCATGGTGGACAGGTTTCAGCAGAGCTTCCAGACTAAGACAGACTAGGAAGAAGGAGATAGCCACCCACCCCTGAAAAAATTGGCCTTGAAAACCCTATGAATAGCAGTGGAGCATTGTCTGACAGAACGCCAGAAGGTGAGAGGATGGGGCAAAAAAGACCGGGCAGGGTTCTGCTCTGCTGTACACAGGGGCACTAGGAGTTAGAATCAACTCAATGGCACCAACAACAACTAAAAGTCCATATAACTAAAAAGTTTTAGAACTGTTGGTAAAGAAAAAAAAGAAACTATTTATTCAGTCCTAAACTATCCCCTTACTTTTACAAATCCCAATGATAAAGACCATTATAGTCCCTGTAATATATGAGAAGCCATTTAAAATAGATCTATTTAAAAATGCTTAAAGCATTTTATTCATAACATAAAAAATATTGAGCTCCTTAGAAATTGCTCCATTTGCAAAATATATTTATAACTTAACCAAAATAAATAATTCATACCTCACCAAGTGAGTAATAACGTCTTGGGATCTGGGAGTCCGGATAGATGTTTTCAAGGTACCAAGAAAAGGGCTTACACTTCAGATTTTCTCTTAGTGTTTTTCTGACTGACACATCTCCATAATCCACTTTGACAACACCTGGAATTTTTCAGAGAAATATACAGATCAGTTCGTGCTATTTTTGTTTTAGCACTGTTTCACTCTGTTTACTTTGACATCAGTTTTTTTCTCTGTAATTAAAATTCCATCAAATTCAATTGCATGTGCAGCTGCTACTACACTGATTTTCTTACTACCATCCAATTAGGACATTAAATAGTTATAAAAAACAGTTTTTCCATTGCTTATGACTTTTCAAATGCAAATATTTATCACCAAGTACTTGTACTTCTTGAATTGAATAATTAATCAACTAAGTGTAAATTGGCATTATTTTAGCATCTCATAATCAAAGCTTAACTGAGCTGTGTGATAACGTGGTTGTTTCTCTTTAATAAAAATTTCAATATTTTAATGCTCATATTTTCCTTAGAGTGTCATTTATTCACCACCTGTAGATTTCATGAGAAATTTATATAAACATGATCCTCACAATGGACAGCACATATGTGTTCTAACTTTTCCTTTTTCTTGTTGAACTTTTACTCTATCTAGGTTTACCACAGACCTTATTTTTTTTTTTTGAGGAAGATTGGCCTTGAGCTAAGATCTCTTGCCAATCTTCCTCCTCTTTACCTCTTTTTCTCCCCAAAGCCCCAGTAGATAGTTGTATGTCATAGTTGTACATCCTTCTAGTTGCTCTGAGTGGGACACCACCTCAGCATGGCTTGATAAGCGGTGCATAGGTCTGCACCCAGGATCCGAACCTGCAAACCCCAGGCTGCCGAAGCAGAGGGCATGAACTTAACTGCTACGCCACTGGGCCAGCCCCAGACTTTTTTTTATTGATTTTTTTTTCCTGTTTTATTTTGTGAGTTACCATAAGCCACCTCACATCCTTAGATAAGTAAGTTGGTAAATAAATAAGCACAAAGAAACTAACATAAACAAATGGAATATATTCACATGAGTATATTAAAATTGCTTAATTTTATTTCATATAATAGTAGAATATATGAAATTAAAATGAATATTTCCATTGAAGATTATAAAAGAATGCTTGCTAGTTGGGAAGCAAAAAGAATAATGCCACTAGTTTTTATATAAAAAGATATCATGGTGACATGATTTGCTCATTATTATCAATATTACAAATGACATTTGATGGAAATCACTAAATGACTGTGATAAGATTGCAATTATTTCTTAGATTATTTTGAAAAGGTTTCTATTTAATGTGTTTCTTTAAGACTAGTAAGCAACCAGACTTTGGCACAGAAAAAAAAATGACCCAGTATTTAGTATATTCTATCCCAACCAAGCAGCAAAGCCAATCAATCATTCTGTAAATGAGGAACAATTGTTTAGACACCCTAAATGTCTGTAACTAATGCCATTATTTGGGTCACTATATTCAAAAGTGGCAACACTCTTGAAGGTCATCACCTGTTAGTTCCCCCCTACCCCCCACTGTCTCTTCAGAATTTTTGTTTTTACAAAATTAAATGCCTTAGTGTTGTTAGAAAGCATTCTGATGGTATTTGAGCAGATAAACAATTTCCTTCTAAAAGAAAATATTGATTTTTCTAGCTGGTGTTTGGACAGAAAAGAACAAGGTCTTTGGGCTTTTTGAAGAGAGAAATATTTGCTTTGAAAATAATTCTATCCAGAACTTCCAATCTGGAGTGCAACCTTCAACAGAAGAGGCTTGAAAACATTTACAAAATAGATCACTAAAAAAATTTCTCTTCGTGTTAAGTGCTATGGCAATTGAAATGATCTAATTGATAGTCTTCAAAATCATATACAAAGGTGCCATTGGGCCTAAGGAAAAAAGGAACTGTAGTTTCAGAGGACTTAGTTCAACAGTCAGTTTGACTGTTCTGGTTTCATTTTTGAGGTGGATTCTTCAAACATGCTAAGGTCATTCCCAATTCATGGCTTTGTACTAGTTCCTGCTCTTGTCTGGATTGGTATGACCCTGGAACTTATAGGGTCACTTCATCCAAGTCTTTGCTCAAACTTCACTTCCCCAGGTTCACCTTGTCTTTCCATTGAAAGTGATCCCTCCCTCTCATCATCCTGGGTCATGCTCTACCCATCTATCCTGCTTAATTGTTCTCCAGGGCACTTATTACTACACGATATGATATTATAGATTAATTTGCTCATTGCAGTCCCAAGAAAAACTTTGACCAAATTACTTAATCTCTTGAAGGCTAAGGTATCCTATCTAACAATATCTTATAAGATGTTGTGAATACTAAATAATGTCTGAAAAGGCATAGTAAAGTCCCTGGTATATAATAATTGTTGAATGCATATTGAATATTGTAATGGCTATCTGTTGTTTTTGCATGCCTGACATCCATTCTGCCTTCTGGTAAGAGATTTCAAGTTTTCTTTGGGCAACCATCTCTCCCCCACTTTTAGTTTGCATGGTTTGGGGACCCCATTCCTCTACCCACCTTTCCAGCTCCAACTGGGGCACAGACTAAAGGCATATTACCCGGGAATCTTGTTAAAATGCAGATTCTGATTCAGTTGGTCTGGAGTGAGGCCTGAGAGTCTGCGTATCTAACAAGCTCCCAGGGGATGCTGCTGTTGCTCAGGCCAAATTCTGAGTAAACCCAAGACAATCAGAGCATTCCATTTCTCAACCTTACACCCGACCCATCATAATGATTGGTTCAGGAATGGGTATGTGAACCAGCCAGCTTAATAAAAGTATACTGAGAATTTGCTGGGACTATTAAGAAGTTGAAGCTCTACTTCTTCTGGAATTGCTAGCTATAAGATAATTTAAGCCTGGAACTTCTGGGGTTACCATATAGAGAATGCCTAAGTCAATGATGCCAATACAGCAGTAAGGTAAATAAACAGATGGAAAGAGAAAGAGAAAGAGAAAAAGACAAAGAGAGTAGAGGCCAAGCCAAGATTAAGTCAGCAGATTTTTATTGTGTTCCAGCTATACACAAAGCATGTTTTCTAGGCACTTGGGATACATCAGTGAACAAAACAAAAGTCTTTTCCTCTATGGAGTTGACAGTCTAGTGGAGGGAGACATAAATAGACTGTAATACATTAGAAGGTGATACACGCTATGACAAAAACAGACTAGGGTGAAGGAGCAAGGTTGCAATAGAAGGAATCTTAATGCATTATTATTTTTTCAAAGCCAACCTATAAGAGTTGCAAGTTTTAAGGTGAGTCTTTCCGTGGGACTTGCACAAACCCCGGAAAAGCTTTGACGGAGATAAAGATTCATAAAGAGTTAGAAACAAGGAGTATTTTAATTAACTCCAGGTTTGCAGGTTTGATTAATAGGTAAATGATAACACTTATGGGTTGTTATACTTTAATAACCTGCCCTTTATTCATCATTTTAAAATCTATTTCATGGTAGTATTCAATTGAGATATGTAGAGCAATCATGTTTTAAATTCCTAAATAGATAATAGATTGAAGATCATAATAATCTCAGTCAAGTTCTTCCTTTAGTAGATGCCTAACAAACCTAATAGTTATGGTTCCCTATAATCAAGGCACCTGATGACAGAAGAGCCTGATTAGAGGCTCAAGCTGCGAGTTCCATGTGTAAGAATATATATTGCAGCATAGCTTGAAGTGGTGAAAAGGGGAAATGATTTTCCTTCAATAAGGGAATGCTTAAGTAAATCAATGGTATATCTAATTGACAAAATATAATTCATGTATTGAAAAAATTATGTCTATAAGAATATGGAAAAATGTTTATAAATAAATAAAAATATAAATAATTTTTATTATATTATCATTATAAGTAAGCAGAATGAAAATATATGGAATAACCAATAAAACTGAGAAAAATAAAAACTGCACATTCCCTTTGCTACTAAAAAAAATAGAGAGAACTTGGGGACCGGCTGGTGGCGTAGCAGTTAAGTGCACGCTCTCCGCTGCGGCAGCCTTGGTTCGGATCCTGGGCGTGCACCAACGCACCACTTGTCAAGCCATGCTGTGGCAGCATCCCATGTAAAGTAGAGGAAGATGGGCACAGATGTTAGCCCAGGGCCAGTCTTCCTCAGCAAAAAAAGAGGAGGATTGGCAGATGTTAGCACAGGGCTGATTTTCCTCACACACACACACACACACACACACACACACACACACACAAAAGTAATAATAGTAAAAAGATAAATCATTTTTAAACCAACTAGAGATTATTGTATTCTGATTATATAAATACTATATTGTGTCAGAGCTTTAGCAGATTACTTGGAATGATTTTTTTAAATTTAAAATTACTCTTTTAATCCACCATTTTCATTTCATCCATTCTTGATATCCACACAAATTACCCAGGCTCATCACCGGTCATTAGGAAGTCACCAGATAAAACTGCATTAACAGGCTGATGGCCCATACCAGCTAATAAGGCATCATGATTATCTGTTGAATTTATCATTTACTATTATTACTGCAATTTTATTTTGATGGAATAAAAATGAAATAATGAACTGTACAAAGATCACTTGTTCAGCTGAGGGCTATGTGACATAGAAGCAAATATTAGACAACTTCTCGATTTATTTAAGTCTGATTGATCTCCCTAGTCAAAAGTTTGGACAGGTCTTGAGGTAAAATCTTCTAGGTAATTGCCTCAAACTTCAGTTCATTTTGACAATAAAAATCTCATATTCAACTGCTTGGTTCCAGATCAGTGAGAATTTAAGTAATAAGAAAAGTGAATCTTGGCAACAGCCTTTTAAAATAAAGGTCAATTTAACATCAGTTGAGGCAAATGGACTATAACATCTACAATCTCTAGGAAAAATTTTCAGGTAAGGACCTTCAAGGCAGTGTTTACCACCCTTCAGAAGCTAGAGCAGCCGGAGTATGTAGTCATCTGCTCCCTAACTCACATATCTTATGGAAAAAGCAAAGGCAATATCGAACCAATGAAAATACTACTGATCTACCTGTACACATTTTATGTTTTGTTTTTTGCTTTTATTCCCCAGTAAAGAAGGATTTGCATACAGTTTTTATATTGATCT